TTTTTTTTCTGGATGATTATTAAACCAAAAACAAAAACAGCTCAATTTCTTCTTATCAAACTTCATAAAAAGGCTTCTGTCATAGGTAGAGATGGATGGCCTTATGTTACATTTACAAAATGTAACATTTTTTAAAAGCCTAAAGGTATCACTAAAGTTTTTAGTGTCATAAAATCAGAATACTATATGTATTTCAGCCATTTTCAAATGTAAAATATTAATTTGATGGGAGTCATAATAGTCCTTGAGGAAGGCACAGGTGGAATATGTATATTTTCTTATCACAGTTCATCAGGTAATATTATCTTAGAAAATAATTCTATATTGCCAGATGGGTCACACAGCAATGATGAACATGAGCCGAATATGGAAAAGCAAGGACATCAGCTTGGCAACCAAATATAGGTTAGTCCTCTCTATTGTGTTCTACGTAGCTATCTATGGTTGTGAAAGCAAGACAGGAAGAAAATTGACTGGCTTGAGCTGTGATGCTGGAGAAGACTTCTGTGCATTCCTTGGACAGCAAAGGTGACCAGCAAGCAAGTACTGGAGTGCATAACACCAGACATGTCACTAGAAGGAAAAATCACAAAACTGCGTCTCACTTATTTTGGCCATGTCATGCAGGGGAATTCATCGGAGAAAGCAATTACACTGGGAAGAGTTACTGGTAAAAGGAAACCAGGCTGTCAAAGGAAAAAAAAACATCAAAGCTGACACCAGCCAGAGCAAAGAAAAACTCAAGCAAGATGGGAAGATGTGGAGAAGCCTGGCCCTTAGAATCACCAAGAGTCAGACACAACTTGAATGGATAACATCACTATCAGATGATCGCTATGGATAACTAGGAAGAGATCCTTCCAGCTGGCATTAGGCAGAACAAGCCTCATCTTACATAACATAGTTACTCTATATGACAGATACAAATTCAGAATTAGATAGTAACACCTGATAATTAGTAAAATATTTTATTTGTGAATCTCTTGTAGAAACTACAGATCCTGGCATACAGCACTGATTTTGTCTTAATTTTTGAAATTAAGAGAGAGACAAGGGTGCTATTGGGATAGCTTGCATGAATTCGTATATTAAAAATGAAAATTCTGTTAACTCCATTATGGTTCTTAGTCATGCCTTCCCATGTACATGTAACGAGTGTTATTTTATACTTATCAGAAAAACTCTAATGTTGGGGAAATAGTGTTCACTTGAGGACTGCTTTCAAATCTGCTTCCAATGCAATTTTTTGTGTGATCCCTCATTTTGTTTCAGTGATTCCAAAGCTAATCTGAACCATAAACTGCCCACTTTTGTTTTCTCTCTGTTTTCTAGCTAGGCTGCAGCTGCTTAAGTTGCCTGAATGCTTTTCCTTGGGTTTAAGAACTTCCAACTCTAAGCCTGTTTTCAAGGCTCAGTGTTAACTTCCAGAAACAATGATTATAGTATAATTGTGCACTGGTCCTTGTTAATTATGTGCTAATGAGCGCTGGAACGAATTGTCTTTAATCAACTATATTGTGTTTTCTTTGGGCTTTAATTAGCAAGTATGAGTGACTAAAAAGAAGCAACTTGACTTGAATTTGGAATTAAATCAATTCCCAATGAAATTGAGAATATTTAAATTCTGCCAACTGGTCATTTTGGTTTACATGTAGGTAAATTTTCATCAGTTTTGCCCTACTGAATGGGTCAAAATAGGGGCTATTCTAGTGGAAAAATTGTGGCCAAATTTGTTGCAAGTCCTTTTGTATAACATTTCTTACACATTCAGATTAGCTGGATAACTTTCCTAAATGAGGCCGGAACTGAGTGATATTTTGTGAAACTTCAAACAGCTGATCATTTGTAGATAACAGCTTGCAGATCTGAACTTGTTAGTGAATGTGTTAAGACACGTAGTTAAGATTTTTCTTCTGATTAGTACCATGTATCCTTGCTATGAATCCCCTTTTCTCTCCCAAGGAAGCTGTAATTTCACCAGACATACATATGTATTTCCTATGCTAGAAAAATAGATCTCCTTGGAAAATCTTAAAATAGCATAGACCTAACAGATATCAATCCAACTACCTTCTATTCAGCAATCTATCTCAAGACTGGTAAACAGCCAGATTTGAGAGAAAGGAAGAGTTTAAACTGGATTTTTTGTGGATGAAGCTTCTGGTTCTTCGTAATTCCTGAGTCAAAAGATAACAAAAAACAATTTTATTCAAAACTTTTGGAATTCTACACTGTTTTGGGATTATTTTTTTCCTTCCATGAACCTTGAAGCAACGTAGGAAATTTCTCTCCCTAGTTCAGGGGTAGGCAACCTTGGCTCTTTTATGACTCGTGGACTTCAACTCCAGAATTGCTGAGCCAGTCATGGCTGGCTCAGGAATTCTGGGAGTTGAAGTCCACGAGTCATAAAAGAGCCAAGGTTGCCTACCCTTGCCCTAGTTGATTCTCAACAATTCAATAAGGAAAGTGAGGATAGAAAGCCATTCAAGTGCTTTGTCCATGGTGGTATTTGAAAATTGGTCCTCCAAAATTTCTTGTTAATTTGTTTTAAAAATGTTTATTTGGCCAATTCTCAGCAGTGTTCCAAGCTGTCATGTCAATGTGCGCAATCTACTTTTGGTGATTTTCTAACACTTCACTTAATTCAGAGAAAATAATTCCAGGAGACTAGCAGAAACCAGGGAAAATGACAAAGGAGCCCTTTTCTTGGGACTTATCTATGTTTATTTTTTTTTTAAAAAAATTATTAGGGGCTTTAGAGTGGGCATGCATTCATGTTCTTTTCAATGATTACGAACCGCATTGATGAAAATAATGAGTTTCATATACTTTACATCACTTAACACCATCAACCAGTTAAAAATATTGATATAGGTAATCCTCGACTTACAACTGGAATTGGGTCCCAAATCATGGTTGTTGAGTGTAGCAGTTATTAAGTGAGACACCATGTGACTTTCATTCAATGACTGCAATCCCAGTTGCAGTTATTAAGCAGGTTAAGCGGAGTGCCAGGGAGAGGGCACAGGCCTCCCACCGTACTCGGAGGCCCAGGCCCTCTCCCTACTATGGCACTTTTTAGTGTTCTGGAAAGTTCAGAAGCCTTTTCTGGATTGAAGCAAACGCTTCAATTCTGCCCTCCAGAGGGGAAGGGAAAGTGCTACTGCAGTGTTTCTCAACCTTGACAATTTTAAGGCATGTGGACTTCAACTCCCAGAATTCCACAGCCAGCAATGCTGGCTGTGGAATTCTGGGAGTTGAAGTCCACATGCCTTAAAATTGTCAAGGTTGAGAAACACTGTGCTAGTGAGTGAATGTTACTTCAGAAGCTGGCATTTACTCACTAGCACTTTCCCCTCCCTTCCAGAGGGGTGGAGTTCCTGCTGCTCGCTAGCTCAGAAAACCTATTTCTAGTATTCTGAAAAGCCGTCTGCACTAAAAAAAAAAAAAAAAAAAGCTAAAAAAGAGCTAGTGAAGGGAGGTGATTCTGCCCCTCTGGAGGAGAGGGGAATGACCAGCGAGCGAACATCAGCTTTTCTGCTTTTTGAAAACTGACATTTGTTCACTAGTGCTTTCTCCTCTCCTCAGAGGGGAAAAATTGCTAGCACAGATTTTTTTTTGAAAGGCTGAGAAAGACTTCCAACCTTCTGCTGGCTCCCCAATTGACTTTCTGGGGAAGTTGGCAGAGAAATTACAAGTGGCAATCACATGATCCAGGGCACTTGGCAACCAGTTGTAAATGCAAATAGATTTCCAGGTGCCTGAAATGTGATCATTTGATCTGGGCAGTGCCACATTTTACAAAGGCCAGAAGTGCCAAAAAATACCCGTTCTGAGGCCATTGTGACTACAGTCTCATTAAAGGACCGGTCATAAGTTGAGGACTACCTGTACTTGTAATTTCTAATTTAAAATAGCTGTTCTCACTTTTACCCCAACATATGAATAGTAGGGGAGAGATTTGGGTGAAATGATATGTATGAACCTGGATCTCATTTACTAGCTATCTGTAGGCTTTATTTCAACCTATTACATGGAATAGAGATTGACAAAATACTAGGAATGTTACGATAAGAGATCTATACTTTCTCTTAGGGTACGTACGAAAACAGGATTAGTACATTCTTTCGTTTTACTTTCTTTTAAACGTTTTCGGTTCGTGACTATTTTTATAAGATCAAAATGTTAAATTAAAAACAAAAAACAAAAGATATGTGGTGAGGAATTTCATCCAAATGTGTCAACATCAGTAAAAACATTTTTGACGGTATAAACTGGCTTGATTTTTTTGTAGTTACATAAAAATGAAGTTCTCTGATTTTTTCTCCCTATAATACATTTTTTTGCATATGTAATTTATTTAGCATTTTTTTTCTGGGAATAGAGATGTGATCAGAAATCTATCAGAAGTTGAATATTGCTGGCTAACATTCTTGTGTCAAAAGGGATTTCATTCCTGTATAATCTATAGACTTCTCACATTTCTCCTTTATGTAAGGTTGACTTGGTAAGAATTATTAATGGATATGACAAGACCCAGAACTATTAATTCTCTTTAGACAGTTGAACAGACTTGTGAACAAATATTGGCTTAGGGAAAAATAATCACTGGAAATAAATGAAAGTAATGGGATCAATGTTTGGAATCCATTATCAACATATTTTTAGAAATCAGGTTCAATTTTTTTTAAAAAAAAAACCAATTTCTGTGGGAATGCTTGATTTTTAGACTTACTCAAATAACTTGTATTTGCAAAATATACTTATACCTTGAAAATAATCCAAGGTATTCCAATTAAGTTTTCTTTTGGTAGTGATATTAAATAATCCAAACCTCAGATTTCTAAAATTCTGCAATGGAAACACGATGGTTATTGCAATGAAGGGACTTACACTGATAAATCTTACCCTTGTTCATATTTTTAACATCTTAATCTATATAGCACAAATACTAGTATCAAAGCCCATTTCTGATGTTCTTTTTTTTATTTATAGGTGCAGGAGAATCTGGGAAGAGCACAATTGTAAAACAGATGAAGTAAGCATTGTTTTTTTTATTAAAAATTATTGTATTCTTCTATGCCGTGTTACAACTCATCTGTATAAGAGCTAATTGTAATTTTGCACATAATGAATAGGGATAAACCACAGGAGAGCTTCTGTAAGATTTGTGTAATTAAGGAAGTTATTTCATGATAATTTCACTTATAGTGCTAAAGGCATTAGAAGAGCTCTTCTAACATATAAACTGGATTACCCTAAACAAGGCACCAGTTGTCTCCCTGTGTAGGTGATATTCATGGAAAAATAACTATATTTTACTTCCCTTTTCATAAGATAATCTTAAGAAAGTCTTTTCCCTATGTTTGATCAGGGACATTCTTCATTTTCTTTCAGTTGTGCTTTAGAGATCTGCTATGCTGTTTCATTACTGGAATTCCACTGAAAACCAGGTGGTCCTCTCAGAACCCTACATATAGATTGTCCACGTTGACATGATTTTATTCAAGGCCATTGTCACCTTTTTATTTCAAATGGTGACTAAAGCCTCAATTGAACCATGTACCAGAACTCCAGGAACAGCTCTACTTTCCCTCTGAAGTCAGTAGTGTTCATCAGGCATCCACTTTGGGGGTACTTCTGCCTTGCCGCTTTGGAGGGGCAGTCTCCAAAAAGCCATACTTCCTATGAGAGAGACCATACCAACCCATGGAGGCTTAGTATAGAGTAAGCAGATGCCCTTTGAGAAGGTGGCCCCAAAAGTAACCAACCGTGTTTTCCCGAAAATAAGACTGGGTCTTATTTATTTTTTTTGCCTCCAAAAGAGGCACCAGGTCTTATTTTCGAGGGATGTCTTTTATACTTACCTCCAGCACTGACAGGACCCGCCCAGCTAGTCCACTTCTAAGGCCGAAGGAGCAGCTGCATTCTGCAGCTGCATTCCGGCCTGCATTTTCCAGTCAGGCCTTTCCAGAAGGCCTCTGCAGCCGAGTACCAAGCTATGGATTCAATCCATAGCTCAGTTATCAGCTGCAGAGGTCTTGCAGAACTGAGTTATGGATTGAATCCATAGCTTGGTTCTCGGCTGCAGTGGACTTCCGGAAAGGTCTGACTGCGAAATGCAGGCCTGACTGCAGAAGATGCCACAGAAGCAGTGGGCCAGCGAGGAGAGGTCTGGCTGCAAGGCAACTGGATGCAGGGTGCTTGGGGCAGCTCCACCTCACCCCACCCCCCGCCCTAGCTTGATTTTTAGGTGTGTGCCTCGCCCCCAAACTATGGCTTATTTTCGGGGAAACACGGTAATACTCTGTCAGGTAGGACTTTAAAGCACATTGTACAGCATTCAGAAACCTATTGGGAGCCAGTGCTGCTGGATAAGTAGTAGTGTCGCGTGAGTGTAACATATTGTACCCATAACTACCACATTATTACATTCTGGACAACCTGAAACTTCCAAATGGTCTTTCAAGGGCAACCCCTCATATATAGGTAGTCCTCAACTTGCATCCATTCATTTAATGACCATTGGAAGTTATGGTGGTCTTGGAAAATGTGACTTATAAGCTATACTGAGACTTACAACTGTCACAGCACCCCCATGATCACGTGAGTGAAATTCAGGTGCTTGGCAACCAGCTCACATTTACAACTGGTTGCATCATCCCACAGTCCTGTGATTTGCGATTTGTGATCTTTTTTGCCAATTTCCAGCAAAAAAATCTCATTGGGGAAGTTGGATTCACTTAACGACTATGTTTAACATCCATCATAAAATTTGTTATAAAATGGGGTTTGGTTGACTTACACCTGCAACAACTTATGACAAAAAATCTACTATAGTATAGTTCTATACTGTAGTTCTAAGTTGAGGGGTTCTTGTAGAAGTTGTTGCAATAGTCCAATCAGGAGGTGACCAAGGCCTGCTAGTTTAGGAATAGGCACGCCTGGCATATAACATACGGTTGTGCAAAGGCCAGCAGCCCCAGCTGCCCCTTACTCTTTGAGTAAGAACTGTGTATACAAGTGAACCCACAGATTCTGCACTAAGTCTGAATGGGGCAGTGTCACACTGTTCAGAACCAAAGATGACAACATTCCAGTTCCTGGATCTGCATGGCTCAGAACCCATAACTGCTTAGTCTTGGCAGTGTTGAGCTTAAATTATTACTTTGTTCTTCCCCATCCCAACCCTCACAACCTCCAGATACTGGGACAGAACCTCAACAGCTTCACTTGGATGGCTGAGAGAAATGTTCCAACTGGGTATCATCAGCATATTGTTGACACCTCCTTGTCCCTGGTTTCATGCATATTCTTATCACTAATTGTGGGTCAGCTCAGGAATAAGGCAAACTCATTTCATATTAGTGACATTACATTATAGAAAAGAGTCTTTCACGAAGTATTTTATACAAAACAATCTTAAATCCTTTGTAGATACATGGTATATTGATTTTTCCTCTTCTATTCTTTTCCAGGATTATCCATGAAGATGGATACTCAGAAGAGGAGTGCCGACAATACAAAGCAGTGGTTTACAGCAACACCATCCAATCCATCATGGCTATAATCAAAGCCATGGGTAACCTGCAGATTGACTTTGGTGATTCTTCTAGAGCAGTTAGTTTTCATTTTTACTTCCTTATTGTTTATTAATTTCCTCTGTGGGCATCACAATGCTCATCTAAAATCTTGAGGTATATATTCATCCAGTTCTGAAAAATGGTGCTTGTTTTCGGTAAAAATTGTTTGCTGAATATGGAAGGCTTGTAAATAGCTGTAGCTTAGCTAGTAGAACACAAAACGAGAAGAGGAAACTAGTGATACCTGGTATCTTTTAAATGTACATTTTTACATAAATCACCTTTTCAGTTTAAAAACAATGGACTCCAGGCTTTTTCTACAAAATCAACTTGGTATGCTTCTTAAGTCCTGATGATATAAATATGATTAAGCTTGTTTGGGGAGGAGGCAAGGAATTATTTAGCAGTTTTATAGCAAGGACGTGTCAAGAATCCTAGCCCATTCAGTGTCAAAGTGGCAATAACATCTCCCCCATCTGCCCTTCCTTCTTTGGATGCTTCTGTATAAGCTTATTTTTTTAAGCCTACAGGAAGTAGCTCAATGAACTGTACTTTCCCAATTGGGGTTGCACTAAGTAAAAACCATGTTGTGCAAAGTTAGTTGTGCTATTTGCTTAGTGATTGTGAAGTGGCTTTGGCGTAACTGTATCAAACAGTGTTTTTCACACAACAATTCCATTGAAACGGATACTGACAATGTGAAAATCAGCCAACATTTTTGGACATCTAGTGCAGTATTTGCTCAAGTTTTATGCAGGGAAGTGGTACTGAGAAGGTAGATTAATAACAGTCATTAGTCATGCAGAAAGCTGCTGTTTTTATTTTTTATTTCCCAACACAGTGCTCAAAATGAAACTATATAGAGGAAGTAAATTTTCCATTCTGCTCTCTCTGTAAAAAGCTACAATCTAATGATTGGTTTTAAAAGAAACAGTAGGTTCATATACCATATTGCTACAAAAATCAAAGTCAGAGTGGAATCAGTAGATTCAGGAGTTATTTGAGGTGATATCTGTGCCTCTAATTTTACCAATTACCAATTCAAACTACTGTGAAATGGTGATTTGAATAAAATTTTGGAAGTTGGGTAGAAAGGAAGATACTGTCTATCAAAAGGATAAAATAATTTTATTTAGATTCAACCTTTAGGCTTGTCTTAGCCTTCTAAAATACTTTGTTGGGAAGAGAAAAACTTGACAGGTCTGCCCTTGTATTAGAGTGGCCTTTGCAATCAGATTATCATGCAATTCAGTCTTGATGTCTTCAGAAGTGGAAGCTGGAGAGAAACTGACATAGTTTAATTATTTTCTCATTTTAGACTTTTCCAACTTCTGTCTTCAGCTAATGTAAAATGTTTAGTGGCTGGCTTCTAGCTGGAGGATTTAAGGAGTGTTTACTTTTATAGAATCTTATTTTTCTTCTTTCCCTTTATTTTTTACATTCACCTTTAATCCATCCACAAAGGATTTTTATAATTATTCCATTCTGCTACCCAGTGGCAATCCTAGTGAAACAAGGTAATTGATTTTACCATCCCCAGAAGTTCATTTGTTTTGTATCATCATCTAGGAATATTCATTTGGTGGGTCCCACCTTATGGAACATTCTTTTCCCCAAAATTATATTAGCACCATTCCTCTTGGTGTTCTGGAAGTTCCTCAAGATCAGGTTAGGTTACCAAACCTGGAAAACACAGGGAAAGAGATAATGTCTAAATGGCTCCACTACTAAGGTGGATATTTCTCATTCTCTCTCTCCCTAGGTTTGTATATTTTGCTTTTAATAATATTTTTTAAATACTGATTCTTTGATTTTTATAATGACTGTTTGTATATGTGTTGTTTTATCAGGTTGTTGTACGCCACCTAGAGTTGTTTTTGTGAGACAGACAACCATACAAATTTGATCAGTAAATAATTATATAAATATTTATTTCTTTCCTCAAAATTTAGCATCTTTCTTAATTAGGTGCCTGTCTGATTTGCGACTGATCCTGGTCTGTCCTATCCTTTGCTCAGTAATAGAAAATTGGCACAAAATAGGATCTATTTTTGCAGCAAATGTTATTATTTCAAAAAAATGGGAAACTTTCCAATTTTATTAAATTATAGTCCAGATTTTGGACAACTTGGGATATTGCAAGGTATATAGTGCTAATTTCTGAGTTGAGGATAAAGTTTCCTAACAGCTAGATTCTTGTCACACAAGCAAATTTATCTGGCTTTCTTTTTATTTCCTCTTTAATCAGTGCCTGCAGCACAGAGCTCAAACTACAGGTAGTCCCGAGTTACAAGCATTCACTTAATGCTCGTTTGAAGTTACGTGATAAGTGTCCCCTAGTGTTTACGAGAAAATCCCAAAATTATGAATGTTGCAGCACCATGGCAGTTGTTCGCCCTTATGAATGACTGCAGAGGCTCTTCAACATTCCCTCTATTCCCCCCCCCTGCTCCCCATAACAGCTTCCTGCCGCCCCGGACTGACCTTGAGAAGATCTGTCTCTTCTCTGCTGGGATTTCTGCCTTTGAGGGAGAGGAGAGTCAATGGAAGCTCCTGGATGCCGTAATATCATGCCAAGTTCAGGCACCCATCCTCTTTTCCAGAGAATGGGTATCTGAACTCTCATGAGATCACGGATCGCAGAAATGTTCATTTTCAGTGCAAACTCTGTGCCTGTCTCCTGCTTGCCCTCAACTCCTTTCTGCCACCACTGGAACACTTTATCCAAATGGAGATCTTAGGGAGATGGGGAACGCCGTCTGATCCTGCGATTCAGTTGTTTTCAACTATCCCATTTGCTCCCCATCTTCCAAAGGTCTCTGTTCGAATAAAAGGTGTTTGAGCGCCTATGGCAGTGGTGGCGAACCTATGGCATGCGTGCCAGAGGTGGCACTCAGAGCCCTCTCTGTGGGCACGCACACTGCAGCCACTAGCAGCTCGCGCAGGTCCATTAGGCTGCCGCCGCCTGAAGCAGCAGCAACCCCGCCCAGCACAAAGCAGGCAAAATGGCCAGCTAGCAAGCTCGAGTAGAGATGTTAGAATATCGAGGTGGCCACGCCTACCTTGCCACACCCACCCAATCTGCTGTGGCCACCCTGGCCACACCCACCCATTGGGCCACACATCCCGCCCTCCCTGAGGGAGCCACAATGCTGATGCGGCCCTGGCACTTTGCAATAAATAAGTGGGTTTTGGGTTGCGGTTTGGGCACTTGGTCTCTAAAAGGTTCGCCATCACTGGCCTATGGGACCCTTGGAAACCCAGCGATTCGCTCTGTTTAGGGGTATCCCTAGGTGCTCAAACACCTTTTATCCAAACGGAGACCTTGGGGAGATGGGGAGCTTCGTCTGTGAGGAAATGGGCTGGTTGAAAATTCAGCAGTTCGCTGCACTTTCAAGCGTTGAATTTGCACACAGAAGGAGCTCCCCATCTCTCCAAGGTCTCCGTTCAAATCAAGTAAACCCCAAAATCATTTTTCTAAAGTTGATAATGTAAAGAGGTTTTATTAATCACAAGGTTAGAAGAGTCATAGAAAACGTCAATATGATGACAGGATGAAAATCAATGGCAGAGCTGCTCTCTATAACAAATGCAGCATAACCAGGAAACTAAGTAATCACCTCAGAGTTAATTCAGCACAACTCTTCTTAGATGCAAATTTTTTTTCAAGTATAAGCTTGCAACCAAAATACATAACAACACAACACCTGTGTTCTGTGGAATTATGATGCAAGGTGGAAATTGAAAGACAGATAGAGGGCTTACTGGAAATTGTTCAGAAAAGAATGAAAGATCAAAATTGGGGGTATATTTTATTTCTTTCACTAATAGATACTTAAAAGCATTTCCCTATAGATTAGGACAAATCAGGAATTATATATTGGGAGAGCATTGTCCTTACAAGGTGTAAATTTATGATATATACTTTCTTGGTCATTTTCCTGTTATTCTGTTTTTGTTTTCCTTTTTTAAAATAGTTTTAAATGGTAGGGACTTTTCCACTCACTAAATGTTTTAGAATTGCAATACTACAGAAACCCCAAGTACAATATAGAGATTGCTGCCTAGGAAAGAGATGCATCAGTGTAGTATACTTGAATTGTATAAGCTCACTTCATTTTGTGCTAATTTGGGTTTGTCTTTCAAAGATGAATATATTGCCTGTTTTTTTTTTTAAAAAAAGATTGGAACATCTCTCTTCTATTGGACAAATTTGATAAGAAAAGCAAAGATTATGCACATTCTAAAGTGCTTCTAAACACTACTTTCTATAAGCAAAAATGGCATCTGTTTATATAAAATATGCATATTGTTTTGTTCAAATAATTCACTAAGAAAGAGCCATTCTGTTATAACACTACACCCCTTAGATCAAAATTATGTTTACTTTGGAGAGTTTGTAATTGTTTCAGATGATATCTCCTTTTTTAAATCGTAGGGTGACCTACATAGTCCTGGAGTTACAATGACAACTAGGACTGGTGGGATTGCCATTGCTTGGCTGTATAGTCATGTGATGCCACAATTTATGACTGCATCACTTAGTGATGGCAGCCCTGATCCCATTACCATTGTAACGTGAGGACTGCCTGCAGGAGATTTTTTTTTTTAAATACAATGTAAAAAAAATTAAATATTAGAATGTAGGCCTTTAGGGGCAAGAAATAATATACAAGAAAGTGCAAGCGAAATGCTTTCTGCAAGCTTTCTGCTTTCTGTTCAAATATCTACTGCCGAATTTCAAATTACTTTTACAGACCCCAAGAAATTCTAAAGAAAGAAAGTATCTTCTGAAGCAGAGCAAGAAGTAGGAATGTAGGCAGCATTTAAACAGTCAGTTCCATAACTGGTACAGAGGCATGAAAATGTGAGACATAGAGCCCCCCGAAACCATAAATTAAAATCTTACTGCAGATTTCCAACTATATGTTTCACCTGAATCTATAAAAATAGAAGCTTCCTGGAGTAAAGTTTCCCAATTTACTTTACCAGATTTCTCCAGCTTCTTAGAGATTTTAAATTTTAATCAGACTCTGTGGGGAACAGTCTGCAATTCATTCATTCATTCATTCTGATATAAACCAATGCCTTGATGCTGAGAAAGTTGTGGTTGTAGATTCTTTAATAGGCTTTCATATGTCTGTTTCCCAATGATTTTCTTTGGGGGAAAAATTAAATATTAATTTTAATGATTGAATCTGAGTGATATGCCTCAAAGGAGTATTCAGTATGATAAACATGCAAAAATCATTTGTCAGAGGAAAACATTTTTTTGTATCAAGAATGGGAAACCTATGGATATCCAGATATAACTGCCTCATGATTGAAAGTTAGTCACCACTTACAGTTCAGTAATCTGGATGGCAAAGCAACCCAACTTTCTGAAGAAACCGGCTAATGTTAGTCACAAGGATAGCAAACCATTATGAAAGAAATTGTTATGCTTCCCCAAAATTATTTAGAGGTGATCGTTTGGAAGTTTATGAAAATGCAACAGTGAGATCTAATAAATATTAATTTCATAGTAAAGTAAAGGAATGTACTGGCTACTTCTGAAACATTTCAAGCAATCAAGAATTTGTAAACATGCACATTCAGGTATTTTATTATCTGTGAAAACATCTGCATTCTTTATCAATTAGCTAACCAGTACCAGGGACATAAGTCCATGTAGGTCCATTTTTTTCCTATTATATCAAGATTATCTGCTCTGCATTGGCTAGATTTAAAGTTTCCTTCACTATATTGATATCCTCCCAAAGTGTCATACTTTATAACTCCTGTTTCCTTTAGTTTACCTAGCCAATGAATTTGGTGATTCTGAATTGGGGAGGCACCCCTGGTATGAAAATTAACTGCTTCCTTTTCGTGTCCTTAGGTGATCAGATCCTTTATTAGATTTGCTTCATAGTACCCAGAGTATAAAAAGGGAAACAAGTTATAATTGAAACATAAATCTCATTACGGTAATTAAAAATTCCATGATACTAAAAAAGAACACCTTCTAGATCATAATTTAAATGCCTAACATTTATCTGAACCAGAATATCTTTCCATAGTTGAAAGGGTCACCAGATACATCTAAACTGCGCCCCCCCCTTTTAGGGAGTTCCAAAGCCTGACAGCAACTGCCAAGTAGGCTTTCCCTTTGTTATTATGTCAATATCGAATTAGCCTCTTTCAGAACAATTCTGCATAATCCTAAAGGTGCTTTCCAAAAAGGCCACTGGACTTCCTTGATTTTTCTTGGGAAGACGTTTCACTTCTCATCCAAGAAGTTTTTCCAGTTCTAACTAACTAGTGGGGAATGGAAAAGATTTAATATATAAATAAACCCTTTTCATTCCCCACCAGTTAGTTAGACCTGAAGAAATGTCTGAGAAGTGAAACATCTTCAAGAAAAAATCAAGAAAGTCCAGATGACTTTTTGGAAAGCACCTCAAAGACAATCATGACCTGAATGACTGAGAACCTCCATAGACCAGTGTTTCTCAACCTTGACAATTTTAAGGCATGTGGACTTCAACTCCCAGAATTCCACAGCCAGCAATGCTGGCTGTGGAATTCTGGGAGTTGAAGTCCACATGCCTTAAAATTGTCAAGGTTGAGAAACACTGCCATAGACAATTCTGTACAATAATACCTACATTGGGCTTTAGTCGCTTACTACTGATAGTCTCAACTTACGACCACAATTGAGCCAAAAAATTCTGTTGTTAAGTGAGTTTTGACCCATTTCACGACCTTTCTTGCCACAGTTAAGTGAGCCACTGAAGTTGTTAACTTAGTAACGCAGTTGTTAAGTGAATCTGGCTTCCCCATTGACTTTGCTTGTCAGAAGATTACAGATGGTGATTTCATGAACCCGGGACACAGCAACTGTCATAAATATGAACCAGTTGCCAAGCCTCTGAATTTTGATCACATGACCAGGATGGGGATGTTGCAAAGGTTGTAACTTTGGAAAATGGCCATTAGTCACTTTATTCAGTGCTATTGTAACTTTGAATGGTCACTAAATGAACTGTCGTAAGTCGAGGAGTACCTGTATATAAAAATTTTCACACTGTTAAATCTGATTGAACCAGTTGTCAGGTGTCATAGCACTGAAATTCTTTCTGTAACATACTAACTTGTGGTCTCTGATCCCAATACTAATCTTGCTCAGTTTCAGGATTCAGCTGTCAGCTGTTACCCATAGAAATTATTAAGCATAGATTTCTTCACGATACGCATTTAGAGATGGCATCTGCTTTACAAGTAGAGGGAGGTGTTTTTTTTCCTTTACAAAATATGCTTCTCTTTGGGAAGAATTGTTTGTGAGTTTAGAGAGGATAAGAGTCAAATGTGAACTTCAGTGTAATGTGACAGTTGCTCCCCCCCCCAATAGCTAATACACGGTCCTAAATGTCTCAAATTTACTTTGCCTGTAGGATGATGCTCGCCAGTTGTTTGCACTCTCTTGCACTGCAGAGGAGCAAGGAATCATGCCAGATGACTTATCCAATGTGATTCGGAGGCTGTGGGCAGACAATGGAGTCCAGGCCTGCTTTAATCGTTCCCGGGAGTATCAGCTGAATGACTCTGCAGCTTAGTGAGTAACTTTTCTTTGAAATCTTTTTGCTTGTGGCAACATATTTTGAACTTTAAATAGTATTTGAGTAATGCCAACTAGCTACACATTCAGAAAATTAGTGTGATATGGTATAAAAAGCTGGCAGACTTTAGTAACTGAAGTAACAATCAGTCAGAGCCAAACTAAATAAAGATGATAGAGCTTTGCATGTTCAGTTTTCCCCAGTAGTAAAAAAACAACAACCAAAAAGTGTCTGTACTTGGATAGTATGTGTGTACTGGGCTGATGAACTTTCTTCAAGTATTCTACCCTCTTCAATAATCTGTTTTTTGTAGCAGTTTTTCACTCTGTAAATCTATATTAGTTTTGTAGTATATTGCAATACAATAACTATATCCTGGATGTGTTGATTATTTCAAGTATTTCTGGGCCAAAACTTATTTCAAGTTTTGTCAAGAGATGACACTGTATGTATAAACAATACAACCTAATAGTATCATTTCATAGTAAAAAAAAACCCAAAGAACTTTATAGTATTTGTATAATATATGCATTCTTGATAAAATGCAGAGCAAAAACACAGAAATGAATTTGGGCTGTTCCATAGTTTCACATAGGACAATAATTTACTTTTGTTTCTTCCTGTACTGTGATCTATCATACTGTCATATTGTCTGAACTAATTTTTGGTATAAAAACTGCAAGAGCAGCTTTCTGAGCTTGCTGTTTCTTCCATTGCCTTTCCTCATTCATTTTATTATATTGTGTCATATATTTTAGATTATAAGCCCTGTAAGCATATGATTGGTCTTTGCAAGTCATTCTGGGATTCCTTTCAAATAAAGAGTGGGCAAAAAATGTTTTAAATAAACAAAATGCTACTTTTGTAACAGCTGTGGTTTTTAAAATTATCTTCAAATGCATTGTCATAAAAACACATTTGCAACAGTCTGGTCTGGATGTGGCTCAGTAGTTTAATTTGGGCTGAAATGTTAAACAGAATCAGATATGATTAGACCTTGGATGGAAGACCTATAGGGAGTATCAGGGCTGTAGACTAGAATGGAAAGTAAAAAATACAACCTGGAACAAGACAGTGGCAAGCCACTTCTATATTGCTGCCAAGAAACGTGTCACCAGGAGCCAAGAGTGACATGATGAAGATGTTTCTTTCTTTATTAAAAGTGTTGACTGCCTATCTTACTACAGGGTAATGCTGGGCGACTACTAATGTTACTCTTTAGTCTAGTTGTAATCTATACAAGCATAATATCTTATTTTTAAATAGATTGCAGTTGTTGCACAAATTTAAATGGAGACGGCCAATATTTAATGCAGAATCTAGAAGAACTCGAATCCTTAACTTATGGCCACAATTGGAACTGGGATTTTGGTTGCTAAACAATGCGGTCATTAAATCACATGACCAAATTGATTTTATTACCATTTTATTGTGGTCGTTAAGTGAATCACCATAGTTCTTAAGCAGATCAGGCTGCCTTTAACTGAATCACATGGTCAAATGACTTTGTTGGAAGTTGGCTGGAAAGGTTGCAAATCACAATCATGTAATTGCAAGATGCTGCAACTATAGCAAATGAGAGCTGGTTTCCAATAATCCAGATTGCGATAATGTAATTGTAGGGAATAGTGTGATGGTCGTAACTTTGAGGATGGGTCATGAGTCACTTTTCCCAAGGCTGTAGTGTTTGTTTTTTTTAACCTTCGTTAAATGGTTGGAAATCAAAGACTCACTGTAATGCCGAACAGAATTGGTGTATTCCCTTCACAGTAAGAGTCATTTTATTTATTTATGACTTGGAAGACAAGTCTGTCTTCAGAGAAAGAGGCCGAAAAGTTAATCCTTCTAGGTGCATAGAAGCATGTAACACTCAGTGTGATCAAGGCTCCCTTAAGTGGAGCCTTATTCCATATTTTCTTCCTACAATGGCCAGCTATGTGAAAAGGCTGGAAAAGTGGTAAATCGTGGTCTTATGACAGTGGAATGCTGAAAAGGTGAGCTGGTTGCCAAGTGCCAAAATGCGGGTGGGCGCACTGTCAGAACTCTGAAATCGGGTTTTAAGTAGCTTGGGGGGGGGGGCTGCCCCATAGTAACTTTGAATGGTCACTAAGCAACTGATAGTTAAATGAGGACTACCTATAAAGCAAAGAAACATGTAATTGGTGAAACTCATTAATCTGATTTTAGGACATAACATCTTAATGTGATATCTTTGACTTTTAATATATTTAACTAGCTGTTATGTATGTGTGTGTATGTGTGTATTTTTGTGTGAAGTTTGAAGAATGGGATATAGAATGCTTAGAAAGAATATACATGTACACATGCAAATATATATATCATAATTGTTCTTTCCTCTGTACTGTTAAAATACGTCTATAAATATTCTGAGAGGGAGACAGGGTTTTTTTTTTTGGCAAAGCTTCAATTTTTGTAGAGATGGCTTGTAAAACGTTTTATAGGTCTTGGCCTGGTCTTTCATGTTTTTTCTTTTTTTATTTCACCTGACAAATGACAGAGCAACAGGAGGCCTGTTTGGTTACTGAGAGGGTCTAAAAATGGGAAATCTGCCTAGGTTGAAGTATTCATGCAGCTAAACTGGATTCAATGATTAGGCAGAATTAGTGAGAACAGGAAATGTCAGACAAGAAGCCAGAACTAATAAACAGTCTTGGAAAAATAATGTAGTTCTGTATAATATCACAACTCTGGCTTTAGAAGTGGCAATACTGGAGAAAAGACAAATGGATAAAAACAAACAGAAAAAGATAAAGATGAAACAGATACAGATAAATGAGTTTCATGTAGGGATTATCCCTAGCATCTCCTAAGTACTAAGAATCCTTGATCAGAAACCAATAAACAGAAAGGTGATATATAAATTGAATAATGTATAAAAAATCTTATCCCATGATACTTGAACCAGTTAATATGCTGAAATCATATATCTACCTGCTTACTTTTGTACTTACTTAGAAGAAAGAACCATTTAATTCAGTGAAACTGGCTTCTGAGTAATAAACTGTATGATTCCACAGTTATTGATGTTTCCTTTGAATATATTTATAAATATTAACCTATATCAGGATAGACTTGTCCAGCTAGAAGTCCCAGGGAACCAATTGTAACTATTTCCACTGGAAAGGTTATTAGGAAATAATAAGCAGCATTTTGATTTTGTCTAATATTCGATATATTAAAATAGGATAAGTATGTAGAATATTAGAAAAAATGAGTTGTGTAATAAGTATTTGCATTCTGCTGCATGTTATCAGGAGATAGCATTGTAATTAGGAGTGGAAAATCAGATACAGGTAGTAGACCATAATTGAGCCCAAAATTTCTGTTGTTAAGTGAGTCATTTGTTAAGTGAATTTTACAACATTTCTTGCCACAGTTGTTAAGTGTGCAGTTGATATGTTAGTAACACGGTTGTTCAGTGAATCTGGCTTCCCCCTTGACTTTGCTTGTCAGAAGTTTGCAAAAGGTGATCATGTGACCCTGGGATGCTGTGACGGTCATAAATAAAAATCCTTTTCTCCCTCAAAAGTCCTGCTGAAATAATCAGGTTTTAATTGTTTTTTTCCTAAACTTCAGTAATATTGCAGCAAACTGAATCTCTGGGAAGATGCTGTGGGAAGAAGAGAAGCGGAAACTGAGAAGGCATATGAGCTGCATCCTTGTGTAAAGGTTCAGAACCTTGTAGAGATTGTATTCAGGTATTCCTCGACTTACAACCACAAGGAAGATATTCATATGGCTGCCTTGCTCGATAACCACAATCCCAGCTTTCCCTGTTGTATTTGTTAAGCGACCACACAGTGGTGCCTTGGGGCTAAGGAGGCCCAGCATCCACCAGCATGTGGAAATCTGCCGTGAGCTGGAAGGCATCAGACAGGTATGCCCAGCGGTACATGGACTCCTCCCTCCTCCTCCTCCTCCTCCCTCCTTAAAGATCTCAGCTGGCCAGGCCCACTGGTGCATGGAAAACTTGCCCTGGACGGGAAGGCTTTGGCCAGCTGGGTCCAGTGGCGCACAACCTTCTTGCCTCCTATCACTCCAAAGAAGCACGGCCTACTCAGTTCCCCACCAATCGTAGAAGGCTTCAGCTGGCTAGGCCCAGTAGTGCACAGGTTGAGGAGGCTTCTGGGAATGGTATGGGGAAGAGAGTAAAGGACAGGAGAGGGAGGCAGGAGGCCTGCATGCCACAGGGCCTGCAACTCAGCTGAGGCCTTCCAGGAGTGGGGAAGGGAGGCAGGAGGCCCACTCTCCTTCCCCTAAAAACCTTACTTAACTTTTTCCCCCCACTTTTAGAGAAAGTAATAAAGATAAAGATGTAAATATATTTTTCTATTTCGGTTTTGGTGATTGAATTATTTTCCTTTTCAATTCTGCATTTTTATTTCATCATTTTGTGCATATGTGTGTATAGGCATTTATGTAGTATGTAAGTGTATGTAGTATTTATGTAGTATGTAAGTGTATGTATATATAGAGAGGGGAGGAGGAAATTTAAGAACAACAGTCTAATTAGTGGAAATCCCACTTTTATTATCTAGTTCTAAAGAAAATAATATTTTTTTTTAAAAAATTGCTGCAGTAACAACATACAGCGTTCATCCAAATGGATCAAAACCATACATTTTTAAAAAGGCAATCTGAACTTTGTTTCATGCCTCAGAACAGTATAGCCGCAGTTTCCTTGGAGAGCTTTACTGTGGTACTGTCTTCACTGAAGCTCTTAATTTTCCATCTAAACATTTTTTTCTGTTTTATACATTTGGAAGAAATGGCTTAATGAATGTACAGGTAGTCCTTGAATTACAACCACAATTGAGCCCAACATTTCTGTTATTAAGAGAGACATTTGTTAAGTGAGGTTTTGCCCTATTTTACAACTTTTCTTGCCGCAGTTGTTAAACGAATCACTGCAGTTAATAAGTTAGTAACCCAGTTGTTAAGTGAATCTGGCTTCCCCATTACTTTGCTTGTCAGAAGGTTGCAAAA